AGGTGAAATTTCATTCGTGATAAACCTTTAAGTATCAAAATCATGTGTATCCGTACTCGATTTTTCAAAAACGTTACTCGATTCACAGGTAAGGATATTTTTTTTTTTTTTTTTTCCACTCATTTCTCGCGCGCCGGTTTGCAGTTTACCGTAATATCTCGGTAGTTTCCCTCTTTTCTTTAAAATATATATATTTTTTGCCACACTGTAATAATATATTGTAATATGCAACATGGATCTGTGGAGCAGCCGACTTGACGCGATGAGCTACGCGAACTGAGTTAGCAGCCGGCACATGGCCGGTCCGCATCATGCTTTTCGATGCCGCAGATGGTTCCTCCTGTGCGCGATTATGGTTTTTTTTTTGTCATGTCGTGCCGCACGCGTGCTGGCGGCAATACACGTAGGTATACGCTTCTCGATCGCTTTTCGTTACACAAAGTTGATCAGTCTGCGAAAATGCTCCGCAGTGACATCACCGTCCTGTCATTTTACGTTCTGCAATGCGCAGCATGGCAGCGCTTCACCCTGCTGCCATTCGTCGGCTATCTTGACGTAACCCGTAATCGAGCGCTCTTGCCATATTGCAATTTTGTGAAATCGCGCGTAATGTTCCGTACGAATATATAAATTTATCGGAACAGAAAATATGGGATTTACCTCCGAGTTGTTTTAAATGCGGATATTATACGCAACAAATATATAATTTTTAAAGAGTAGCACGTACTTTTTCGACATGTTCGATATTACGCGACAAATATTCTCAAAGAAGTAGCACGTATATTTTTACGACAAAGTTGAACTTTAATTATTCATACTAGGGATGTGTGTGCTGAGTTAATTCGGGTCGCTAAGTCCACTCGGGACGCGATTAACACGCAAACCGCTAATCTAAGGGTTAAACCTCTCAAGACTATTCGATTTAGCATTCTATAAACATCTGGACTCACTGGGACGGAATTCTTTTTATCAACTATGAGAAATATTCTTGAAAATTCTCTTTTGAAGAGAAGCATGAACTTTTTAATCGCAACTACATGAAATTTTTCACTATCGGAATGCCAAGTCTCCCACACGCGAAAGAAGCTAAGAAATAGGTATATATTGTGAGAAAGATTTTTCACTTGTTCTCCGTAACTCGGCATAAATCGACGTAACCACAAATTAAGATTTGTCCGTTTCGAACTGAAAAGAAACTGTGCGCTCACCGTTACATAGCGGGACGTAAGAGAGACAAATAGTTGAAGAAGTAAGGGTCACAATAAGGGTAATTATAAAAAATTAAGTGTAAAAAAAAAATTAGCAAATATACAAAAAAGTGAAAGAATGAACAAGGTGCCGTTTCGGTTTCTTAAGGAAAAGAGTAAAGAGAAGCAGGCAGGGGGTGGTCTCTCGCCGGGTTCTACACCATAAAACACCTGGCTTTTCTACGTCTGTCTTTATGCTCTCGCCCTCGTATCGTCACGTGCCTTCCGATCTTTGTCGTGTCCCAAACTGGCCCCCTCCTGCGAGCTCTCTCTCTTTCTCGGCCTCACGTCGGTGTCAAAAAACCCCTTGGTTTGGCTTTATTTTGTATGCGCCGCAACGAATCCAATATCTATATATCCGACAGTGCCACCAGTCCATTAACGTTTCGTACCGAACCGAATCAAACGCGTGAACGATTTAACGTGTACCATCAGTGGTACCTGTGACACGAAAAATGTTAATTTGCTTGACAAAATAAGTACTACCGAGGAAAATCGGTCTTTCATCAAAACTGCCAATAAATTTCGCTCACTTTGCTACAAGTATTTAGCGTCTCTTAGGAGAAAAAAAGATCACAGAGATTATTGACGAAACAACCGTGACTAATTTTTCAAAACACGGTTGCACAATGCGTACCAAATGCATTTCTATGATCTCAAAAAACGAAGAAACAAGTAGAAACGGTTGAAAGTAGAAAACCCGAGTTTCACATAATCGGATTTACAAAATTAATTTTAAACTTCTTACCAGTCAAACCTCTTTATTGTGACTTTCCGTATTGTAGGTAGATATCTTCCCAATGCGAGCGAATTTTTAACGTGGATTTTTCTCCTCTCGTGCTGATCGTTCCACCACTTAAATTCCCATCCCTCGATGGCGCACGCGCGAAATAAAAAATAATCTCGTGACATGTTTCAATGCGCTTTTGTGAGATTTATCGCGTAGAGTGGGGAACGGGAGGAGAAAGTTACAATATGGAGAAAATTCGATTCCGACGAAAATGACAATAGAGAGATTCGACTGTGATATTGAAGACAAATTTATATATGTTCCTTGATTAAAAATCTCGCTAATTCCTGCGAGCGATAACATATAGTCATGAAGTGTGTAAATATTTCTGAAAGCGATGGGACGCGCGATTCAAACTGTCACAACTCGAAGTAACTTTATATGCGAGAAGACATTCTTGTGTGTAACAGACTGTACATACACAACAATTCGTGTACTATTTACTATCGGGGACGCACAGCTTCAGACTGCGTGTAAAATTTCAGACGATCGTTCGCGCACACACATGTAACACTATAGTCAACTAGTCAATGTTCTCGTTTACGTTTCTCCCTTCCTATTGTCTCACGGTGATTGAAAATGTCGACTTAACTCACAACATTTTGAAAGGAAAATACGTACACATAATTTATTACGCTTTTGATACTTTTAAATGATTTAAATTGTTTTGAAATAAAATATTTTATACACAGATATAAGAGTAAATTTATATAATATGTATATATAAAGCTATTTGTAAGTATATTTGAGTATTAAAAAATAAACTCGAGTATTTCGATATAAAAAATCTAGAATATCTTTTTAAAATCGTTTGAACTATTAAAAAAATCAAGTTTGTACATCAGTTGCTTTATTTAGTCGAGAGTCAAACAGCGATTCAAAGTTTTTTCATTTCTAATCATTTTAATTATGTATATATATATATATATATATACATATATATATATATATAACAGATTATGTGATATATATTACCAATTAATTTAAATAATCATTTGGGTCAATAAAAAAAATTAGTTGGCCAGTATAAAGCTATTTATTACCCGGAGCACTTAACACATTATATACAGTCACGTATTAATACATTTTTTGTATATTGATCGTAGTAGTCTGCGGGACACGTATTAATTTTTCGTATATTGTCGCTATTCTGTTATTTTTTTTTTTTTTTTTTTGAAGTTTTTTCCTTTACCGGCGCAGTGAAATTGCCAAAAATTAGCCGCACCACGTAAGTTGAAACACGCGAAGTAACGTGTATTTAAGCAATCGCTTGGGCTGTTTCAACTTGAAATTTATGAGATTTTATGAGTTTAAAAATCAAATTTCTAGCTAAGCTACAAAATTATAGTTGAAATAGTCCAAGCGAGATTAAATGCCCCCGGAGTTCAAACAGCTTAGCCATAAGTTTGGTTTTCGAATTCACAAAATCTCACACAAATACCAAGTTGAAATAGCTTATGCGATCGCTTAAAGTGTCCCGGGCGTAACACGTAAACAAACCAATAATTCGCGTAATGTGATAATCAAATAAATAAGCACGGTTTTTGACTTTTTAGCGCTTTGTTTTAATAAACGTTAAATGGATCGGTAAAATTGTCGCGATTGAGAAACGCAATTAATCTCACGTTCTAATTGTAAAACTTTCACTGACAATATGCGAGTTTCAACGAACCTGCCCGGCATTTCAAGCGCTTTACTTTATCTTCTCTCATGACAAATGTAAATCTTTTGCCCACATGATATTCTTAATTTTTTTTTTATTTATTTTTTTTTTTATGTTTTTCCTCTCCCTTTACATCTAATGTCTATATTTTTAACGGATGTTCGAGAAAGAAGAATGTTTAACATTCCGTGTTTGTCATTCGAATAGAAAAAACAAACGAGAATAATCGATATCACGGGAATAACGAGAACTTATCGTCACAAATTTTGTAAGAATTGTGCGAAACGACGGCCGATTTCTTCATACCTCTCGATAGCTATCCTCTGGATAAATTCCTCTGAGAATCAATAAGAGAACCAATTTTGGGAGATATCTTCTAGATAAAGTTATCGAAAACTTATTTAGAAGTGCAAAAATTGCATGCGAGTATGTTAGGATAATCGATGAGTCAAACCGCGGATATCACGAATATCCGGAGAGGTGATGAGAGTGGAAATAAAAAGTTATCGCGCGCTAGACAAGCTCTTAGCGGCATCGTCTAACGCACAGTCTTAGTCTTCTTATTCTGTCTACGTTGCTCGCCATACGTACGTACCTACATAAGTTTACATTTAACAGCGTGCCATGGATTGTAAGCTACAAGTAACACGCCTCCGGCCAGTTTCGTAATTTGCGATACTATTTAACGATGTGTTTCTAAGTGCTCTTTGAATTTATGATCACTTACGATCGATTTACCGAATGCAGTCATTGATAAAAAAAAAAAAAAATAAATAAATAAATAAATAAATAAATAAATTTAAAAAAATAAAATGATAAGCGTGGTCAAGTAATTTTGCAATATTTATTTATATACTTTTGTAATAATGCGACGCAATGTCATCAATGCTAATGAGTGCCATCACACTCGCGAGTGAAACAGCACCTGAGTAGATTATTTTATTACGTGATTGTTTTTCAAGAAATGATGATATATTTCAATTTTATATATAGGAAAAAAAAAAGCCAAACCCTTTTTTTTTTGTAATAATATATAGACACGTATCGTATATGTATATGAATAGATACAAAAAAATTATAATAGAGCGTGAGAAAGATTCCGCGTACGCGAAATTAGAAAACAAATCTCTTCGTTTCTCGTGTAGAAGCGAAAATACCGTATATCTCTTGCATTTCGTCTGGTCTCGAGCGGAAATAATGTTTGATGCGTCAAACTGTCGCGACACGACTATGCGCCTCACCGACAAAAATTCGCGGCTGGTGCGAATGCAGATGTGCAATAACTGTGTCTTGTACTAACCTGAAAGTCTGTCGATGTAACGTTGCATGCCCGTATTGGAGGATACGTATTGAAGCGCTGATCTAACAACTAGGATCCCATCGACGATCTGCATTTTCGTGTTTTTCTCCCGCTTTTTCTCGGATTCTCCGTACTGTTTCACTCTCTTTTCTAAACTTCTCTTTCTCTCTCACTCTCTTTCTGTTTTATCGTCTTCGTCTCTTAAGCGCGCACGAATCAGATGGAACGCACGTCGAAGCGAGATGGAGTGACTGGTGCCGCAGTAGGGGGGGAGTTGGGAGATGCGGGTTGACGCGGTTGTGTTCAGTCTAACCTAATCTTTCTCGTTCGTCTCCTTCTATTCCTATTATTCCACATGCATCTCCACCACCTCCTTTTTTCTTCCACCACCTCCACCTCCACCTCCACCACCTCCACCACCTCCTCCTCCACCACCACCTCCTCCTCCTCTTCTTCTTCTGTCACCGCCACCGCTGCTGTCGCTTCTTCCTCCTCCACCACCTCCTTCTTCTTCTTCCTCTTCTTCTTCTTCTCCTCCACCACCTCCACCAAGATTCACCACGTCCGCCGCCGTTGTCGCCACCACTTCCTTCTCCCCTCCTTTTTCTTCCACCACCTTCACCGTAAAGACACACACACAGAAAGATTAGCAACCGATTGCTTCAGTCTATGGCACACACGGGACTCTCCATTCTATATTCAGAGCAATCTCTTTCCACAGTTTCCAATTCCGATTTGCCTCGACGGTGAACTATAAGTCAGATCGTTGTTAACGTATTGCGCGTGATACGCGTATGTCGCGCTAGTGAAAACTCCGTTAACGAACGAGGAGAAATGAGCGGTCGCGGTCGCGCGCTCGCGCCGCGAGCGCGAGAGTGAGAAGAAGGCGCGGCGCGCCGTGTTCACCTAAGTTGAGCCGCTAGTCAACTACATATGTATGTAGTCAGACGGAGACAACGCGAGTCGGGTAGACGCGCCGACGGAAGCTGTCTGGCTCTTTCGCGCACTGTATTTGTGTATGTGTGTGTGTGGTGTCTATGTGTGTTTATATGTATATATATATATATATATATATATATATATATAACTCTGACACACGTTTACACATACATTCACTACGGCACGTGCACTCACTTGTCTCACTGACGTCTCGTTTTACCAATTATCAATATAAGTCCGCAGCGTTAAAGAGATCATGCAAACACGTACTGTTACTCCCGAATAGTGTGCCTGTCTCTGCGTAAGAACCTGCTTTTTTTCTTCCCTCTCTTTCTCTCGCTTTCCCTCTGTGTCACGTTGAGAGATACGTTGTAACCAATACGGATGTGTATTCACCCAGTTCTATTACTTCGATATCTATTCTCTCTCCTCACTTTGTATTACTTTAGCCGTTCGCAGCAATACTTTTCTCTCTTGCGCGCTTCCTGGAACTCGGGTGTGTGAACAACTTGGTTTCAAATAGACGAAACTATACACACACACTCGTACTACGCGTCCAGAGCACTGAGAGAGAACTGTATTCGCTCGATACCTCTTCTTGATTGTGAACCAGCAACGCGCTATCGTGGTAAGCGAGAGTATTGTTGTAATATTGTCATAATTATCTCAGTCCTGATGATCGTATCTGTCTTGAAAGCGCTTGTTATTGATAACGTTGTCATATGTATCATCGTGATGTGGTTATAGTGTCACGATTTTACCTCAGAGTTTTCAACGTCATGAAATCAATTGAGCTTGTGCGAATGATTGTACGCGGAGTCGTAACACGACCCGAACAAATCCGACGTGCACTGTCAAACGCCAAACCACAACCAACCAGACCGACCCACACCGACTAAATTGGAGTTAAACAGTCGAGCACGGTCGAACCGAATGGTGCCGAATGGCCACTGTATCTAGTTCGTGAGACAAACCTCACGCGAGATCGGATGAAAACACTTCTCCCCCCCACGGTAGACACTGTGCGCACGCATTCAATAAAGCAGCGGAACATCGCTCAAGTAGAATCGCACCAGTCAACAGCCATGATTCGCCTTAGTCAACTTCTTCTTTCGTACTGCCGTCCCAATATCCCGTACACACGCGCGCTGATCGTGCATGCGCGGAACAAGCGTTGTGCGAACAGACCTTTAACAATAGATTCCACTTGGCGCTCGTAGCAATCACGCAGGTCGCGTTCACAATGGTTACGTTCGGAAAACTCAACGGTTGAGAGATCATCATCACTTATGATAGGACTATTCTTCAAAATCTGCTGCGGTTTCAAAAGTACGATCCAATCAGAAGTGATTATCTCTCAACCGTTGTGCAACCGTTGAGTTGTCTGAACGAACGCCAATGTCCAATCGCACTGGGGGTCGTTTCTGTATCACGCAGTGTAGTGAAAATTACAAGAGTGAGCAAATTTACTAAAATATCTATGATCTTATTGGTCAACAACTAGTAAATTTACTCACTTTTGTAATTTTTACTACATTGTATGGATATAGAATTTGAGAAATTGAATTAATTAATTACAATTATATCACTGCTTACTTCTGCACTTCAAAAGCGTCATACAAAATACAAACGAGAGAGTTATTTAAAAGGACGTTTATGTTGGAACAGACGAGGTTTTGTTTTTCCGGTTTCTCTTTTCAAATTGAACGCAGTATATATATTCGAGAAAGTTCTGTCCAATGATTTGCTTTTGTGTGTTTTACTTGCCTTAAGGTTTTTCGTGCGTCATGGTTTTTAAGCGCTCGGTTCTGTTGAACGCGCCCAATCTGTGTGCGCCACAATGTATACACATGTTCCAAACTAAACACATCCATTTAATCCATTAACGACTATTGCGATTATAACACCAGTTCCGCACAGTTCTGTATGTGAATACTGTGTGTACGTTCGTGACATTTTCCACCGCAAACTTCTTTGTTATTTTCGATTACTCATTGATTAATTGCGGTGTTTGGAGTAAATTCATAACGAACTTTGTGTGATTTGTTTCTATTTTTGTCATTTATTTTACTTTCCTCGCACGCCATAATAAACAATGTCTACAAAATCCACAGTGGATTTGCGAACAGAACTGGCCGAGTTAGTAAAACGTAAAGCCGAAATCGCAGTAAGTGTGAATATATGTAGTAAATTTTTTTTATGACAAAGCATCAAAACATGAACATATAGTGTAAATTGCATATTTACATAACAAATACTGCACGCACACGCGCCCGCGCACACACCACACATACACACATTCTCTTTTAACAGTAAAACAATACTTTTAAACACTTATAATCTTAGATGTGCATATAATGACCAACTGTATATATCTGTGCTACACTCAGAAAGAAAAAGGTGGACTAAAACTAAATATTTAATAAATAATTATTAAAAATTTTACATTGAAAAAATATAAAACTTGTCTTTCTCAGTTATTTTTCCTTTTATTACATTTATATATATGCTGTTGTTAAATCATCACATTACAAATATAGAATAAAAGAAAAGAAGAAAACAAAATATGTACCAACCAATGTTTACAAAACACAATGTTTGCAGGATACATTAGCTGGTTTAGAACGTCAAATATATGCCTTTGAAGGAAGTTATTTAGAGGATACACAAGTATATGGAAACATAATCAGAGGTTGGGATAGATACTTAGCAAGCAACAAAACTACTAACAGTAAAGCTGATAAACGCAACAGAAAATTTAAAGAAGCTGAGAGATTATTTTCTAAATCATCTATTACATCCATGGCAGTAAGTAAATACTTATTTCTGTATAAACCATTTTACTCTTTTATTCATATATCTTTTAATAAATAGTTTTATATACAAATTTACATATAAACTACTATAACTATACTATAACTATACTATACACATATAAACTACTCCTGTATTTTGTTTATTATTTTTATCTTCTTTACAAATAACATTTTGATATTCAATTCAAAAAACTCGCACGTGAAAATTTACACGCGAACAAATATATATACGCATATATATATATATACGCAGTTTTCCGCACAACAACCTGCGATCGGCTCGGATGACCGAAAATATATTTCTTAGTTTAGTAACTTATCGAGCTTCAATAAGATTTAATTGTTAAAATAACATTTAATTTATCTGATATAGAATTCTTTAAAAACATTTTTTTTATATGGAGCGTGTGTATTATTATTGTCATTTTGTGTTACAGGCTGTTACAGGACTTGTAGAGAATACACAAGAAAAAAGTAAGGATCTCAATGGATATTAATGATCTATTTAGAAAAATTATATATTCTTGTATTTTTTACATATCTTTGTTTATTCATATTTTTCTGTAGAAATAATAGCAACATTATGAGTGCATAAGTAGTTGTCTTTTTATTTTTAATTGTGGTGTTTTGTATTGTGTTATTGTACATTTAAGTAGAGTGTGTTTGCACTATTGTTTTTTTTATTTGGATCGCTTTATCTTAATAAAATTATACTAGTTTGCATCTACTATATAGCGTATACACATGTGCACATATACACACATACAAAGCGCACGCACACAGAAGAGACAAAATGAGTGAGCATAGTATTATTAAAAGGTGATTCACAACTTTGCTTATTGCACACTTGCCAAACTATATAAATTAAAAATTCCTATTCAACATCACACACACATACACACAATCTACTCAATTTTTCCAGAGTAAAACAATTGCCATAATAATGAGGCATATTACTTGATTTATCATAAGGAAGATAGTTTTTCTTTCTACATTTAAATTTTTTATTGATTTCTATGTAAATAATTTTGCATGTATCTTAAGATAGGTGTGATTATATTGATTTAAAAATATTATTGATATAAAATTTTATATAAGATTGATATAATTTTATATAATTTTATAGTGTAACAATGAAATATAAGTATAACAAACAAATGAATATATAATAAAAAAGAATTATTTTCATGTAAATAAAAATTTGATTAAACGATGTAAAAAAAGGTTTTATTTACTCTGCACACACGTGCGTGCGTATGAAAACGGAGCGCACACGCATGAGTATAGAGACAAACACAATTTTTGGTTTTAATATCCACTTATGCATTTATATCATGACACTTGCAATCATTTGTATTTATTGTTGTTTTCTTCTCATTTATATACATTTTTTGTATCGTTAACACAATTCGTTCCACTTCCAGTTGAACGATACAGCGAGTCGGAGTCTCAGATTGGAAATAGTGGCAGCGAAGACAATTGCAACTTTGGCAATTCGAATGCAATTCCTTCCGGCAATAATAATAAAGAAACTAGTGGAAAAAATCATACTTCTATTCAAACAGGATACGTTCAAAATAATGGCACTATTAATAGCTCGGATAATACTTCAATTCAATTTACAAATGGATCAATGACTAATGGCAACTTAGAACATGTTGCTACACCTATCAAAGAATCCCATAATAATAGCAAAGACCCTAATAAAACTAAATCTACAAATAGTGCAAAAAAGAATAGTAATAAAAGATCTAGAAATAGGTAGAATTGTTCTCACACATATATATGTGACGCTATAAATAAAAAGTTTGTTTTTCATATATTTTATATAAATGAAAGCAAAATTTTGTTTGTATTTGTTTTTTATATAGATGATTTGTTCATGTGTAATATCAAGATGTTAATTTTATGAGTAATAGAACAAAGCGTTGCCATTGAAATTGTGTGTGCACGTGTGTATATACGAATACATATGCATACACACATTCATACACATGTTATTTCTGCCTTTTATTAAATAAATTAATTTTCTTATGATGTGTGTACACGCGCGTATATGTATATATTGATATTCTACGTAATATAAAATAATGCGCTATATCTACTGTATTAGTTTTTGAAGCATAAAATTGTCAAAAAGTTAATTCTTAATTTTCTAAAAAAATTTATTTACTAACAAAAGAATATAATAAGTAATGCTCATATAAAAAAAAACTGCAAAGTACTTTAAGAAAAATTATATTCTTTTAACAATATTTAATATCGAAGAATATTTAACACCTACACATAACACGTGTAAATTGATGTTATAAAAATAAATAGAATATTAGCACAGTAATTTTGATTTTATATATTTCTCAAAAATATCTGGCTACCTAAAAAAATAGATAAATTTTGTGTGAAATTATAATTTGAACAGGTAAAAGGGTCAAGTGTATTTTTAATTATTTTCTTCAGAGCTCGCTTGTAATTTGTCAATTCGCTTACTGCTTAAATTTCTTCGTGTGTACTTAACTTTCATATTTTATCTAACCATCGGATGACAAGGATTGGCATTTATGTCAATTGAACTGTAGCCGGATTGGTTATATACTTGTCAGCTAATCTTATTACTGTCAATTTATTTTTTTGTAATTGAAATGTGTCGCACTGCCATCGACCAAGTGAGCAATGCGGAAACCGAGCATATACTCAAGCATGCTTGAAACAATTTTTTTCTATGGCTGCATACGGAAAACATTTATTATTGCTAGTTATTGCATCTTTTTGTCCTTAGTTTATCGCTCTAATGAGCGATAAAAAAATACAAATTTAAAAAATTATCTAGTATAGCCCCAATTGCAATATACAATTTAAGTAGCTAAAACACTTAAATGACTATACTTAAAGATTTTTCTTCTTATAGATTTACTAATAGATTTCCGATTCTTGTGGAAAGAAGATATACATATAGTAGGACAAAAATTATATTATAAAATGTTAATATTTTCAGATTTATTTTGTCGATCTTTTATACAGGATGAATTATGCGATACTGCTGGCGTTAGATGCAATTCTTGGCCATAAATCTGCACATTCTTTTGCTACAGGTCCCGTAATAGCTGATCCTTTCATTTCGCCTTTGTTGTTGACAATTACACCTGCATTGTCTTCAAAGTATATAAACGTGCCGTCCTTCCTACGAAATGGTTTTCGTTGTCGTATGACCACTGCAGGCATTACTGTGACAATACATAACATAAGTTTATTTAAGATTTTGATAATAACTAAAATGTTAAACAATAAAAAAGTCAAAAAAAATAATACAAATAAATATCTTAAGTTTATTTACCCTTTTTTCTAAGTTCAGGTTTTCCTTTCTTTACAGTAGCAACAATCATATCACCGGATCCCGCTGCTGGTAAGCGGTTCAACCGGCCTTTGATTCCTTGTACCGCAATAACATACAAATTCTTGGCACCTAAAAAATCAGTTGCTCTATCATAGAACTCCTTATTATTAACACATCATCTTATTGAAACAACCAATATATAAAAGTATATAAAAAGATAACATTTAAATATATTTAATTTATTCTTTGTACCTGATAGAATAAATTGTTTTTTTTTAATCGAGTTATTTGATCTACTTTTTTATTACAAAATCCATCAAATTTTGCACTCATCCAATAAAATCTTATTAAGTGGTAAGAGCATAATATTGCACATCTTATTTAAGATGCATTTTCTGATATTTATTATCTAATACTGAAAGTCTAGAGTATGCATAAAATGAATTATAGATTTTCACGACTAAATATATTAGGACATATCCTTAAATTATCTATATGTAAAACATTTACTAGTTTGTTACATGACTAAGTTAAAAAAAAAAATGCTTTTTTAAATATAATTCTACTGAGTTAGTTCACAAACTGCCGATGTAACAGAAAACGTTGCGAGACACAACTTGACTGGAAATAACACCATGTGCACTTGTGGATCGCATGAAAGCTCTTTAAGGTTAAGTGCTACATAAAACGTAATTATTTGCAACTTACCAGTATTATCGGCACAATTAATAACTGCACCAACTGGTAGACCAAGAGATATCCTGAATTTGGCTCCCGCGGAACCACCACGTCCTTAATAAATAACAAAAATTGATTAAAAACACCATCAGGGAACATTGATCCGTTATTCCACGCATTTGTCATAAATAAAATAAACGTCTCGTCGTGTCATGTAATAGGAACATAGTTTTGTTCTGTTATTGTCTTAATAATAATCGATGCATTATTTCGACGATGAATTTCTCTGATTTTCTTCGCAATATCAACTCACCTCGTTTAGACATCTTGGATTATTTTAAAAGAAGAAGCACGACGATGTTGCTGTCGCTAGTGTCTACCATTGACGTAATAATATATATACTGGATTCAAATTGAGAAGAGAATCCTACTGCGCATATACACATTCGCTAGTAGCCAATGGGTGCGTTCAGACAACTCAACAGTTGCACAACAGTTGAGAGATAATCACTTCTGATTGGATCATACTTTTGGAACCGCAGCAGATTTTCGAAGAATAGTCCTATCATAAGTAATGATCTCTCAATTGTTGAGTTGTCTGAATGCACCCAATGGCTGTGAAGTGAGGTCTTTCTAATAGAGAAGATGCGCGAAACGGACGAGTTTTCGTTTATTCGGTTTCTCTTCTCTATGAACTCAGTGTAATAGAAACAGTTTTGAGATCATTTTCTCTCACTCGCATGATTGAGAGAGAAATCTTTATCTCAAAACTATATATTAATTATAAAGCCGAGAACACACTAAAAATAATAGAACAGTAAGCGAATTGACCAATCACAAGCGATCTTTGGAAAGAACGTTCCGGAAAGTAATAATTCCCAACGGCGCGAGAAATAAAGAATTCTGCTGTACGTCACACACACAACTATACGTATAAAAAAATTTAACGAACTTACTGCAAGTGTAACATTTTATATTTTAATACATATCTCGTTCTTTTAATTTTATTATATATAAAAAGCTTATTATTTATATTTATAGAACATTTATATAATTGCTAAAATAGGATTGAATAACTTGAAAACTGCAAATATAAGAGGTACAATTATAATTTATAAATTTACATTTACAAGGCTTATGTCGTATAATATAATTTTTAATATTAAAATAAACTTACACATAACGCTATACGTAGAAGTTTAGCGGATCATAATGTATCTTAATGTTCTCCAATCACTTAACAATTCTTAAAAACACAATAGATATAATTTTAAAATTGATTGTGTACAGTTTGTTGTAAGATTATACAAAGTAATTCACATAGGAACTGGCAAGAAGATTATCGCATATTTCTTCTTGGCAGTCTCTTTTAAAACTTAAAAAAGTGGCTGTTTATTAGTTTGAATTATTAACGATATCTCGTGTAGACATTAACTATCGCAATATGTGTGCCCCGTAACATTTATAATTACAAGATATCTCTATACAATTCAAAGCTACACATTACTTTTTATACTTAAAACTATAACTTGACGACTAACCGTCATTGTAAATAAAAGAATAAGCCACAAAATCAATCGTAATAATAAAGAAACCTACAACAATAAATTACGTAAAGGTGAATAAATATATATCAAAATATACGAATATGAAACAACTCCTTTTGCTTGATGATAAAAAGAACTTTTTTTCTGACAAATACAACTTTGGCTGTTTTTTTTCCGCATACGCCGGGTGAAAGAAATGCTGTCAAATGTTATATGCATAACATGTCGATCAAGATGAAGTTAAGTCGAGCATTGTATTCGTGTCTTCTAATGCTGGCAATGGTAACTCATTCTCTTCTTTGACTCTAGCATCTGACATTTTTAGGAACTTGATCACCTTCTCAGTAGCAGCAATTCCGCAACTACTCACTTCGCTCTGAAATAAATACGCATAGTAAGAGAAAAGTTTCATCATCTTTTTAAATAAAACAATAAGATATTTAGATATTTTATTTAAAAAACATTTACCGATGCCGTTAGGTTCATAAAGTTAAAGAACTTCTGAAGTACAGATACCATAGTAGCGAAATTTTTGTCTGGCAATCTATTCCGTACTGACAACTCGTACTCCTGAAAATCAGAAAAGTGAGAAGAAAACCAAACTGAACAATAAAATAAAAGAGCTAAATTGAAGTTTTTCTTATAATGACGCGTGTACACAATTTCTTTTACCTTGTTGTCCATTATTAAGTATCCCAGTAAAAGTACAACGTATGCTCCGATCAGCGTGTGCTCCATATGTCGCCCAGCTTTTTGTAACACTGGAAAAAAATACAAAAACATGTGATTTGTTGATACTTACTTATAATAAACACGAACATTGCGCGAAAGTAAACATAGTGCAAACATAATACAAACATTTTGTGACGGTCTCTTCGATAAATTCTTCTTGAGATTTAGTGGTGGTTGATACTGTTTCAGTTTGTTCAGAATCTTTCTTTCCATCTAGAATGGCGTCTGTTTTTTGTTCTTCAGCGCGCGCAAGTTCTTCTTGTTTGTAAAACAAATCAATCAATGATCCTACGCCACTTTCCCGTGCTGAAAGTGTGTAAATAAAAAAAAAAGAATATATTTTGTATTTTCATAATTATATTATTTTATGTATTGAGAAACAGTATGTGTGTGTGTGTGTGTAAAGTGTTTTACCATCAAACATATCCTCTGAAATCGGAGGTGCTTTAAGTTCCATAAGAAGTTTTTTGTTATCATCACATTGTTCCACTAAATTTATCAACAGAATGAGTGCTAACATCATCATGTCAAATCGCGTTTCCTCCGGAACGGATTCAGGCACACGTAATAAAATGAACAGACTGCTTTCCAAAAAGTCACCTTGTGCGCCAAATGTTCTACTACCGAAAGCTGTACACAGAAAACGATATTATATTCAGAACAAACAACAAATGAATCAGAATATAATTGTAGAAAAGAAGAACAGCAAGAACTCTTACATTGTCCGTTAAACTGATGGGTGAGGTTAATGAGAACTTTAATAATGGCAAAAAGACATTCTCTAATAACAGCACCGGTAGAACTTTTATCGCTCGGATCTGTTGTCGGATAAATGGGTATCTCCCGCCCACATAGATGATATAAATTAGCTAATGTGGTCACTAATACTCCTTCTTCATATTTCAATAAATACACTTGATTTTCTTCATTCATATGAGTTACCTGAAAAATAACAATGCGCCATTTGTTTTATGACATCTGTTATACTACAATAGCGTTTCGGTATTGCAAATCTGAAGGTATAAATCCGAATGCAAATAAAGCTAATCGATCAATCGCATTGATTGTTGAATATAGAAATTTCTAAGATAAAAGAGCGATTCGATTCGCTTCTGATTTGCAATACCGATCGCGGTAAATACGTACAATAACCAAAAAAAAAGAGAGAGGCACTCACATTTTCTAATACACGTAAACATCTGTCAACTTTACGTAATTTATCTAATAAAGGATCTGTCCAGCCAGATCTTAAAATATTCTGGCTATTAATATGGCGGTGGCATTCTCGAATTGTTTTTACAATATGTTCGAGACCACCTAATTCTCGTAACTCTTCTTTGAACCATTCTCCAGCACGTTTCGACGTGAGACTAAGAAGAGTCTCCATAGCAAGTTGACCAACCTGATAAAAAAGAAAGTATATTATGAATTATTTGGAAATACAAATAAATATTATGTACACAAGAACATATAAATACAAAGAGTAAGATATAAAAATACAAAAAGGGAGCGTGTGTGTATATTTTTTTTCAATATTATATACTTACGGTAATATTATCTAGGTTTAGATGTTTAGCGTGTCCTTGAGCTTGTATATCGGCGCATAACTGACGCACTTTTTCTTTATTTTTTGATAATTCAGCATAACTGAGGCCACAATCGTCCAGAGCGTCTTTGTGACTGGCATCAGATTCCAATAAACTTAACATCAATTCCAAACAATCACGATCTAAATCCATAGCCAAACGATCTTGACTTAACACAAACATTACTGTTGCCGTGCATAAACCAAGACTCTGTAATGCAACGGTGATGTTATTATATAAATTGCTATTAAAAAAATTTCTTTGTAAATTTGTTAAAGTCGAGACGTTTATAATAATCATATCTATGATGTATGCTACTTGAAACATATGAATGCATAAAATTGAAGAAGACACTATGTGTGGAGGACATCTATACCTGATCTTTAGTTGCATCATGAAGAGCTTTAAAAAACTTGGCAACAGTTCCGTGAGCACGAACGTGCATACGAAATGCAGGAGCCATACATTTACTTGCTAATCGTATGGCTGAAAGGCAACGAGTAGCATTTGGATTATTTTCTCTCAAAGTGTCCAAGATATACTCCACATCGTCGTTAAACTCCTGGAATTCTCCACTTTCTTGTATCTGATGAGCTTTTTTTACATTCTTCACTACAGTATAGAACTGCAAAATTCACACAAACGTACGTTAAAATAAATTTATTATTTTTTAATTATCCAAGATAGAAAAAAAAAACTCTTTGCATTACAATATATCTTTCAAAACTAAATCAACATCATGCCATATATTGACCTGCTCATAATGCACTTACCCCTTTAACTCTTTTACCGCAACGAACTCTTGTGATCATATCGGATTCATCTTGGAAAACTGTATCGGCCGAAGAATATGTCCAGACTCTCGTCAATTGCAAGGCATCGAACTCTTCCTCGTACGCCACAGGTTCTGTACTGCCGGATCCGGACGCAGTGGTTGGCGTACTGTTACTGGTAGTGGGTGTATCCGCAGTGGTGGATTCTTTATCACTGTCGCACCACTTGTGTTTATATAATGCTCGTCTTTTGTTCCCGTTTGTTGCACCCGCCGAACGACTCTTGAAAATACTACCTTTCTTGGCGGCAGGTTTTACCGACATTGGAACGCTTGTGGATGGCGGATCGACAACTTGTGATTCCGAAACCGCGCTACTCGTTACAAGCATTGGTATCTCATTCTCGACATTACCACCGGCACTCTCGCTATCGTCGCTGCCCGAGAACCAATCCTGGTCCACCAGAGTTTTAGCAGCAGTCTCGGGCGCAGTATCGACACTGGTTCCGGGAACTGTTGCAGGTTCTGGTTCAAATTCAGGATCAGGTTCTGTTTCCGGTTCATGTTCAGGTTGTTGCTCGATGTCTGTGGATTCGGTTGTAACTTCGGTAGTTGAAATATCTACGGAACAATGCTGAACTTGGTTTGTAACATTATCCGACTCGGCTGTTTCCACGCTATTTTCTGTATTAGTGTTAATATCTGATAATGATGCTACTGTCGATACTGGTACTGGTACTGATGCTGGTACTGGTGCTGATACTGGCACCGATACAGTAGCTGCAACTGTTGGTGTTGGTGTTGGTGTTGGTGTTGGTGCTGGTGCTGGTGCTGCTAATGCTGCTGGTCTCGCGTCAGAATCATTTGAAAGAATGTCAATCAGCTCCTGGGTTGTAGTTGGCAGTGGCTGATCGCGTCCAATCAGCGGCTCGATAGTTGACTTGGAGGAATACGTTGAGCCGCAATCAGTCTTAACAATATCATAATGGGATATAAGTGTGTTGTTAGAATCCGTCACGGATTTTCTCAAAGTTAGTGAGAGACCTCCGGTACCACTGTACGAGTTGGGAGTTATTGGTGTTGTAGTGGATGGTGGTACAACAGAGCTTGTCGTTGCCAGATCCAAATGTAGATTTTTGGCGCGGCTACGAGTGGTTCTACGAGTGTCAGATTTTTCTATAGGAATCGACACGGTCGACACGATTGGTTGATGCGCACGCAGCGATTTGTGATCAGACTTGATTTGTGACGTCTCCGTAGTAGTCTTACGTTCAACGTCCACTTTGGCAGGACTAGCTACAGAAGTGGAAATCTTGTAGGTATCAATTTCTGAATCATGCGTATCCTGCTGCACATCTCCGCATACCAAACGTGCCGTACCTTTACATATTCTCAGTACGATCGGAGGTTTATTCTCTTCTCGATTAGGAATATCAGTGCTTGTTGTGCTATCTAAATTTTCTACTACTTTCTTAACGGGTGCATGCGACGCTTTCGTTACAGCATGTTGCTGCTGTTTCTGCGTCGCTTGCTGCTGCTGCTGAGAGGATTGCTTTTGAGCGCGAGCCCTCCCGTATTGCGAATCAGGTACTTGTCTGTAGATTGCCACATCCTGGCGAGATTCCTCCACCACTGGCGGGATATTTCTACTCTTAAAAAACTTTTTCGGTTTTACCACTGCTGGAGCGTTGTCCTTGTTGTCCGGATCGGTCTCGAATGAGAACGGATCTTTTGCAGAATTTACGCGATTCTGATTTCCATAATCAAGTTTCATCTTTTTCGCACCAAATGTGTTATGTATATCATCTCTTCTCCCTAAAAAGAAACAATTTTAAAAGATTGACATATTGATATGGTTTGTACAAAAACAAAACTTCTCTGTTTTTAAAAAAAACTTCCTTCTTCTGAGAAATAATTATATTTCTGAATTATTATCTAATAAATATTATCTAATAAAGCAATAAATATTGCTTCTACTTAGTGTTAAAATAGTATTGAAATTATATCAATAATATCATTAGAGGAACTAATTGCACAAGATTATAAAAATAAAGAACTTGTTAATTTATATCAATTTTCATCATGGTACAGAAATCAATTTTACAATATTGTTAGTTTGCAAACAGAACTAGGCCTTACTAACAAAGATGTACAATATGCGTGCAAAAAACAAAAATAAAATTTATGGAAGAAATAATTCAGAGAGCAACTGTTACATAAAATTTGCACATATAAAGTAGCTTTTGTATTAAGGATTTTAGTGATATTTTGTAAATAAATTAGCATTATTAAATGTATGTTGACATTTTGAACTGGCTGAAGAAAACACATTGGTAAGTGCTCAAACATTACAATATTGTTAATGTCACACTTTTGTTGATATACACAAAAGTAAAGTAACATTTTTGTTTTGTTCATACAAGAGAGAGAGAGTGTTATACAATTTATTGTATATTGGAAAGAATAACAAGTGGGGGGGAGCCACAGATTTTATTTAACTATTATAAGACTGTAAATTTTTCCATAAATTACAAATCAATATAATTCTAAGTACCTGATCTTTTTACAAGTATCTGTTCTTTACACAAATGCTTTTACACATCTCTGTTTCTTCTTTATCAATGTTTTGTCAAATATACAAATCACACATATTTGCAAACAACTAAATACACATGTGAAGATAGTTTTGTTTATGACATCAACATACATAAGTCTCTAAAAGCACCAGAGAAGCAAATTTACGTCACACGAAATACAAAAACATTCTGACAAAAACGTACCATTGATATTTGTGCTCCTGATTGAGGTAAATGATGTTATACCCCATTTTCCAACAGTACCCGCCGATTTAGCAGCGGATGGCCGATTGCTGTTCTCGCGAAAGAGCTCGAACTGTATGCTGTTCGGCGTTATGACCTTGCGGTTGTAAGACTTGGTGTAACTGCGGGACGTCATTGTTTGCTTGTCTCGAGGACCTTCATCGGCATCTCAAAGCACACTAATACTGATAATGACGCAATTTTATCTTCATGCTTGTCCGGCGAGTGCTGTGCGCACTGCGTGCCGCGTATCGTGCATCAGTATCGTGATAAGTATCCTACAATGTGGGAAATAACGCGACGCGATTTCGCGCGTACGAAACATCAACGGTGGAAATGTTTTCAGATTCGCTCGAATTATCGAGCGTTGGAGCGGCGATCATTCGATCAGCACGCGACTGTACTTCCTGGACGTGAAACGGGAGAAATAAACGCCATGTTCCGACTCGCGCTATCACCTCGACGCACACGTACGACGACCACTCGCTCACTCCCGAAACAACAAAATTCGATTAGCAATCGGAGTGATCCTTCGGGTTGGCCGAAGAGAGTTTGATCGCTCGCGAATTCTTTTCCTTCGAAAACTTACTGCTGGCGTTACTTGAGGCTGATTTTCCGCTTTTCTATGCCGCTCACAGCTACCATCAATTTCTCAGACTGTGGATTATTAATCATCAACATATAGATCTCGAGCCATCTGCCGATGTTTTTCGTGTTTCGAGATTTAGATACATACACATATATATACATATATATATATGTATATATATATATATATACACACACTTATATGGAAAAAGGAGCAGTGTTACATACATACATACAATGCGCAGAATTATGACGCTTGTCGCTTCCGCCAATAGATAGAGCTAAACATGACGCTTCATATATACTTTTGTAGAAAATTCTAATTCCACACATAAATAATAATAATACACAAATTATATGTATACATATACCGATTAAAAAATATTAGCGAAATACATTACTGAGCGAGTTAATCGATCTGTTTTTCTTCAAAATTTGTAATTTTGAGAGGAAAAAGTGAAATGAGAAACAATTACGTTGTCAAAATTGAAATTTTTTATAGAGTTTTGTAACGCGTAATAGGTCATCGGACAAAAATAATCAGAATGCATTAAATCATGTCGAGCGTTCAAGTTGAACGGTTTTCTTTGTGCATTGATTAACATTATTTAACATTATTTAACGTTAAATACTCGACACAACTCGTTGAAGTTTATGATTGTTTTTTTATGTTTCTTCCTCTCCTCCGCTTTAAGCCGGGAACGCATGAGAAAACATCGGAAATAAACAAATTGGCCAATTACAGGAGAGCAATGTGAAGAATCTTGGTCGGTCTCTCCGACAAAAAAGTCTTGCTTGGGGATTGGTCAATTCGCTTTTGCAAACCAAACACAAAAAAAAAAAACGTAATATAATGAGTAAGCAAATCAACCAATCGCTTGGTTGTCATCGGAGAGAAGAATGAGAGCGGCCACAAGTCCACAAGAGTTTTTGCGATCGCTATTCGTCCCGTAAGCTAGCGCACGTCCACGGGTGGTGCACATTGGCAACTACGTAACGATGTCCGCGACTTGTCGATACGTACGCAATGTCCAAACGTGGAAATGGTTCTATTCCGCGCTATGTGTAATCAGAGAGAAGAACCTGAGAGCGGCCACGGCCATAAGGCCTGGTTTATGCCGGCAAATAAGGCCTTGTTTTGGCCTTGTTTATGCGAGTAATAACTGTTAATTCACGCCGGAATTGGTACAGTTCAACTATAGGATTTCAATGCTTCTGTTATATTCTGTTATGCTTATGTTAATAAACAGAAATATTAAAATCTTAGGTCCGCATAAACCAGGCCTAAGAGTTTCTGTCGTAGCTTTTCGTGGACATGGTTCTATTCCGTGCTATGAAAGCACCGACGTGGTGGGGATACGCACCCAAGCGAGACCGTTGTCCGTGTGCGCTCGTGGAAGTGTGCAGACATATTATGTTGATGTACGACGACGGTTCTCGCTTGTGTGCGTATCCCCACCACGTCGGTGTTTTCATAGCACGGAATAGAACCATATCCACGAAAAGCTATGACAGAAACTCTTATGGCCGTGGCCGCTCTCAGGCTTCTCTCTGGTAAGGCCTGGTTTATGCGGGCAATAACTGTTAACTTATGCCGGAACCGGTAGAGTTTAACTATAGGATTCCAATACTTCTGTTTATACGCATTCGGCAATTTTGTATAAACAGAAGTATTAAAATCATATAGTTAAACTTTACCGATTCCGGCATAAGTTAACAGTTATTGCTCGCATAAACCAGGCCTAATACACACGGTTCTATCCCGCGTTAAGCCCGTTCTACATTGATCGCAAGCGCAAACGCAAGATATAGATCTCGTAGAATTGACCAATCACGCTGGTCAATTGGCTGATTTGATCAATACGATTAGTCAATTCTTACCAGACCTGTTCGTTGCGTTTGCGCTTGCGATCAATGTAAAACAGGCTTTAGACGCTGTCATATTGAATGGCGATATTAGCGCCTCTAATCGAACGGGGAGAGAACTTCGTGGTCACATACAACCGTTCTGTCGGTGAAGGAGAATAGTGTAAGAACGATAAAAAAGTTTCTCTCGAGGTGAATGACAATGAAAATTATGACAGAATGATAATTTTATAATCAATCGGTCCCTTGATGTTTGTACGCAATATTATTCTTTACACGAGAGTCTTGTTTCATGCGGTCGAAAATATCGTATTCAATATGGCGGCGCCCCGTTCAGAAAAAAACCATTCACATATTACTTTTTGGCTTAATACCACTTAATAAATGGACTACGTAGACTTTTTTTTATAATTGACCTCCAACTTTGAAGCTGATTTGTTCAACTTGCGCAGCTATTTTTTAAACTGTAGAGTGTATAGACGTGTAATAATCTATGAATTTAGGCGTATTCAACAGAGTTAATCTCAAGGTAAATTATAATATACTTAATTCTATAGACATATCAAGTAATTATGCGTTTGTTTATTTTTTATATAGATTTATATTTTTTTTTACAACGATATGTGTTTATTGTGTAATTATATGATTTTAATAGTTAAAAAAAATCTTAATTGCTTATTTAATAGTATTATAATTGTTTCTAAAACTTCAAAAATTTGATAAAACATATTTCTAGGATTCCCAAGGAGGAATGTATTCAGAATGGGCTTCATTAAGCACTCTGATCCTGCAAGGTTCAGAGGAAAGCCAAAGCGTACTAGGAAAATTTCCTCCTGGTACAGGAAAAGAAGTTGCATTATCCATAGTACATCAGCTTGCTGCAAATCTTGGCATCACTCAAGCAGGAGAGCCTAGTTCACTCTCTACTGACAAAGAAGTACAATGGTGCATGGAAGTGATATGTTATGGATTGTCATTGCCATTGGCTGAGCATGACACTGTCAGAGATTGTGTGAACATATATTGCGAGTGGCTGTCCGCATTATATTCTACTCCAAAAATTTCTGTACCCAGACCAATAGTAGATGATCCAAACTTTTATGCCAGAAAAATTATAAGTCATTTTCACAATTTGTTCGTTCCAAGAAAAGGTGAAGGTAAAAGTCAATTTTATTTCTTATACATAAACACTATAATTTCTTCATTAATAATCTTTATGTTTTCTTTTCTTCAAAAAAGTCTGGCCTTTTTTATATCAGGATCTAGGTAATTTATAAGAATATGTATATTTTTGTGTGTTGTTAACATACTGTTGCCTCATTTTCATTAGCACATAAAGTAGCATATCAAGTTATACCAATAATATCTAAAAAAAAAAAAAATAAGAGACATTATTTAGTTTTATATTATACAATATGAAATTTTTTGATATTTTGTAGGTACAGATACAATAAATCGACAGGCTGTTTTGTGTCATCGAGTGCTTAGAACTCTGCAGCAAATCGCAAGAGGTCCGGCTACTTTAGAAAGAGAAACGTGGGAAAGTCTGCTGTTATTTCTCATTGGCATTAACGACGCATTATTGGCACCACCAGCGACGAGAGAAGATGCTGGAGAACAACTGTGCGAGAGAGTGCTTGGTGTACTGTTAGAGGTATAAAAAAAAAAAAGGAATTATATATCTTTTTCAATAAATACTCTTATACAAATATAAAATAATGGTTTCAGGTATGGCTCGTTTCTTGTGAACGCAGTTTTCCTTCACCTCCTTTATGGCGCACATTACGAGAATCCTGTCTGCGTTGGCGTCATAGATTAGCTTTAGTCGAACAATGGAATCGCGTGTGTCTTGCACTTACAGCAAGACTGCTACAGATCATGTATGGACCAATGTTTCCTGAACTAAAAATAAGTGCGTATTTATTTTTAATAAATTAAACTTTTTCGCATCACATCGATGCAACAGTGATTCAAACATTTTATTTTTTATGTGTATTACAAAAAGAAGTCTATGTTAACAGGTGAGGAGGACATGCAGCTTGTATCACCTACCATGTCAGATGAGGCAGTAGCACAAGCATGGTACAGACTATTGCGCACTATTGGCGATCCTGTGGATTTATGTAGGCCTGCTATTGTTTCGCAAACACAGGCATTTCTACAATACGCGATTGCTAGTCCGAATGTTATTGATCCGTGCCAGCATCCGTGTTTGCAGAGTTTGCCACAAATATTTCTGAAAGCCATAAAAGGCATAGCAGGTCAAGTTGATGCTTTTCTGGGTAAGTTGTATATCTCTAATTTAACTAAACTTCATATAAAATAGCATATTACAATTATATATATGTATATCTACATCTCTATATGTGTTGGCAAATTTTGTAAAAAGATTAAGACAATGTTGAATGTATATCTCTTAAAACGTACATCTTCTATTTTTCTTTTTCTACGAGACTTGCACTTATACTATCAGCTTTTTCACATTGGTGGCGGTTGCACATTGCGAATGTTCTAGGCGTTTCACAGGCATGCTGCTGGGAAGAGTGCTGTTTGTCCAACGTTCCATCAGGAAATAGCGGTCCCGGCAGCGGGGGTGTCGGATGGGATAGGTCAAATGGCAAGGATCAGCCTCAACCTTCTCCGACACCCCCAACTCAACGCAGACTTGCCAAAAGTTTCAGTGTCACTCCTTCTGCAGTCACGAAGGGTATCTCTCAGAGCGCGATACTTACTCTCGCTGATATATTTCTAACACACACACACACACTGTACTCAACCAATTTTAAGTTTCTCTTTGCAAAGATCTAAAGTCACAGATATTATAAGAACAGCACTCTATTTTGTATATAAAACATAAGATACCTTATTGCAACAAATAATATTGAAGTTAATTGAAATTTTGATGTTCTCTTTACTTATTGCTGTTATACATAAATATTTTACAGGTATTCCTAAAGCGTCGTTAATTGGATTAACAACAAGTCGCGTATCTAGTACACCACCGATGTTGATATCGAATTCTGGACCGTCATCTGCTTCGAGTACTGCTTGTAATATCATCTTTATAAATTTCTAGTTATATTTTTGAATGTTTCTTTTGACTTTATAAATTTCTAGTTATATTTACGAAAATTTCTTTTATGACTTTTAGCTATGACCTCACTTGGCCAAGACATCAGACCTCCCTTAGCTCCTGGGCGTCCCAAGTGCAATAGCATACTGCATCTTTTCGGAGAATGGTTGTTCGAGGCCGCGTTTATCGGTACTGATGGCTGGTCGCAGAATCTATCACGTAAATATTAATTAATTGTGTATCACATGATAAATGATTACTTTTGCACATAAATTTTTGTAAACAAACAAAATTGCAACAATTGTCTAGAACCTTCGGGCGCGTCGAAACGTCCATCTTCAGTGCTTGTAGAAGGACCAAGTTCACTGCAAGAGACCGTGAGCGACGTACCGCCGACACTCGGTATAGATCGCTACGAGTCCGGCAGAGCAGAGGCTCTGGGCGCTTTGTGCAGAATTTTCTGCGCTAAGAAAACGGGAGAGGAAATATTGCCCGTATACTTAGCTAGATTTTATCAAGCAATGTACCACGGTCTTAAAGTTGACGAGGTATTGTCATTCAATTCTTGCTCTTTGTTTTGTAAAAATTTTGAGAAAAACAGTTTATATATTTATTAATTCACTTTGTTTTCAGTCTCGCGAATGCGGTGAAACACTCGCGAGCATTCTGTTAAATTCCGCTGACTTGTTTCGTTTGGATTTGAACGGTATACAAGTCTTGGTACCGGTCGTACTGTCTGCTCTGGAAGTAGTTCTACCAGAAAAAGATTTGAAACTGAAATCTAACACAGTATCGAAATCAGATTTGAGAAGAGCTTCGATACATTTGTTAATATCGATGTTAACATTGCCTCTGCATTTTCAGGTAATGTAAATAAAACTTTATAAAGTAACAACACTGACACGCATACATACAATAAATAAATATTATTGCACAGAATCTCGCTATTAAGGAACTTCCGACATTTCCGGGCACGAATTCTTCCGAGAAAACGCCTGTAACGTTTGTACAGTTAAAATCGAGACTCATGAATTTGCTCATAAATGCTTTACAAGTAGAGACTGATCCTCAGAATACGCACATGTTGTTAGGTAAGTCAGTTATGAAATTGAAAACTGTTTTTTTTTTCCAAAAAATGTTAAACATTTTGTGGAATTAAAAGTTTTTTTTTATAATTAATATATATATTTTAAAATACATAAATAGAAAACGCGAAGAATACTGCTAGGAAACAAAAAAAGTTAAGTTATTTATACCGATAAGATTAGTTATGTAAAAAAAAAGATAATTATTTAAAATGTGTATATTATGTAAAATAATTCCTATTAGGGGCTCTTTTATTGAGCGTGCAAGATTCTGCAGCAGCAGAAGAAGTGGAACAAGTCACGCAACCCGATACAGTAGCTAATGACTCGACAACTAACTTATTATCTTCAGGTTCGTTCTTGATACTAAAAAGTGTTAGCTTGCATTCGGTTTAATGCACTCTGTTCTGAATTATCTAGTATTAACTTCTGTTTGTGTTCAGATTTCATGAGTAATCATGATCATGGACGTTAATATTCTAGCATAAAATTATTGATTTTGATGATATAATTAATTTAACAAGATAAAATTAAAATACTCATTTAATACGATGATATAACAGTGTTATATATATGATGTATATCGCGTAGTCTATGATCATGATTGATTTAACTCTAGTACCAGTAAGGTAGCAATGCTACTTCATTCAGCAGAAAAACTCATTAACATTAATCGGTAGCTTATGAATGGGAGTAAATCAGTATGACGCAGATATTCAAATTACTGATGCTTAATATATATCACCTCTCATCGTATCAGCTTTACACGTGCTTATATATTATGAAATGTTGATTTTTCTTGTTGTTACGAGTTTTGTGTTCTGTTGTGCATTTCGTCATTGTACCGTCTTATCATCGCTTAATATAGTCACCAGCGATTCAGCCAGTCAAATAAGTATATCCAGCGATCAGCGATCAATTGGCGATGCCTCTGATATTGTGACTCTTCAAGAGGAATGCATTGCGTTCGGTAAATACAATTTCTTGTTTTTATCTTGCTACACGCTCACGAAAACTGCATTTGAGGACATTCATAAAGTATGAATTATGTTTTTGCTCGGTGTTTATGTTTGTTTTTATTGTTACAAAGATTTCTAAACAAACTTTATATATGTTTTTACTTTTATGGAACTTATGCACGATTATATAAATACAAAGTAATAATATAAGTAGATATTGTAATTTTCGATATGGATTTTCACAGAATAGATAAAATAGAAGGATCATTGTTTGCAGATTCTGCCCATGCTCTTTTTGTACGGGCAACGTACTTAGTGTGTCATCGTTTGATCTCATCATGGAAGACTGACTTAAATATCTCTCTAGCAGCACTCGAGATGCTGTCAGGATTGGCACGTACGCGTATTCGTGAAACAGGTATTATAAAAAAAATTTAATATGTTTTGTTTAACTATTTTTATTGCGCCAATAAATATTTCTTTTCATTGTTTCTAATAATTTTGCATGCAGCAAGGAAACTTACAGGTTTGATGTCATTTAAAAATTGACAAATTTCTAACAAATGTATATTTGTAACAATACGTATCACATTATTGTTATAGATGCCTTGGAATGCAAAAGAGCGGTAAAATGGTTGTGCGATTATATTTCGTATCAATGTTGGCGTCCGCCTCCAGCACATTCTAAGGATCTCCATTCTTCTATTGTTGCTGCGTTTAGTTGTCTGACTACTTGGCTAACTGCTCATCCACAGTTGTTACAGGTTTGAAAGTTTTTATAAACTGGTTTACAAAATTATCTTATGTATGTGTTGTATATGTATATTTTATATCATAATGTCTTCTTTTTTTTATGTTATTCAAGGATAAAGATTGTTTGACTACGGTATTAGAAGTTGTCGAACTTGGAGTATCTGGTACGAAGAGTGTTGGAAAACCAGGAGAACCCATCAAAATGAAAGACGAGAAAGAACTTAAACCCGCATCTATGCGCGTAAGAGACGCCGCTGATGCGCTTCTTACTATTCTATTGGAACAGGTTTGTACAAAACATACAATATATGTGTGTGTACATGTTTGTTTTTATTATTGACAGTTTTTAAGATTAATCTGAGATAGTGAAGAAAAAGTTCTTTTTTTATTTGTTGTATTTTAGACTTTTTTTTTATAATAATAATTTATTTTTGTAGGTTGGTTATTTTCCGAGCGCCTGTGGAGCACAATCACTTTCGTCACTATTGGACGAAGTATCTTTGCTTCGGCACTGCAACAGCTGGACAGGTGGACGTGTAGCGCGACAAGCTGCTGTTGAGAGATTTCGTTACTTCGTGTCTGAGAACGCGATCGTACTGGCTTTATTAGAGGAGCCTCTGGGAAATGATCAAGATCCTCAGCCGACTGTGACAGTTCTCATCCGCGGACCGTTCGGCAGACATGCGTGGACGATGCAGCTTCGTCATTTGCCACGTCATCGATCTAGCATTAGAAGTATTAACAGTAATCCTGGTCGACCGTTGCCATTAGCCGAAGCCGCACCGCGAACGGATTACAAGCCGAGATTTTTCCCGGACAATGTGGATCGTATTCCCCACTGCAAAGTGTAAGTGACTATATCGCTCGTCATTTGAGAATAAAATTCAAAAGTTTGAAAATTATATTAAAAATATTTTGTCACATTATTGCGGTGATTTTAGAGACGAATCGATACCGAGTCTCGAAGCAGTTATGAGCGATAATGACGCAGTGCGAGATGAACATCAGATTTTGGCGCAGCTTTTAGAGCGTCAAATAACACTCGAATCAAAACACGACAATAGTAATATAAAGAATGCAGATGACAAAACTGACGAATGTGTACCGCCACAAATCTGTCACGAATTTCAAACAGCTCGTTTGTTTTTAAGCCATTTCGGTTTCTTAAATATGGAACCTAAGGACAACGAAGAATCCAGAAATAGCGGTCTTATCGCTCTAGATCCGACTATTCCCGGATTCTGCATGGATTTAGAAACGTTGGACAATATTAGCCCACGAACCTGCGATACTGTTCACGTCTTTTATGTGAAGGCAAATCAGAAGTCCGCCACTGAGATATTATCAAACGTGGTAAGAGATATCAATCATATTTTATCGACTATAAAAAATCCATTTGTGATTTTTACATATTCACGTGACATTGACAATCTTTCGCGAACTGGTTTTGCGTTCTCCAATAAATAATACATCATATATCTCAGAAAAAACTGTTGCTTACATTTTATCTTTATACTTGCAGCTTCATGAGGAAAACGTATCTCCGAACTTCCTGGAGTTCTTAAGTTCTCTCGGTTGGCCCGTTTCTGTATCCGCTCACGCGGGTTGGACGGGTCATGTGTCTACTTCGTGGAGAGTAACGGCGCAAATAAACGTGCCACAACCAGCTCACAGCAATCACGGCGGAGCACTCTACAACGGTGATACTCACGTGTTATATTGGGCGGACGTGAGTTCGGAAATTGCATTCGTTGTATCCACGCAATCGTATCTCATGGCGAGTTCGGACTCGCTAGAAGAATCCAGTTACAGCAGCGATATCAGTAGCAGTGGACAAAGTAAACTTTTTAAAGCGATATTAAAATATATTCTTTTTTAAGATTTTGATGAAAATACTACTTATCTGCTTGTTTTCTACCTTGTAACATGTAATAATTTGTATTTATATTTCATCGTAGCGTGGTTTGAGCGGAGCATCAGCGAAAGTGCGGACAATCGAAGTTTGCACAACACAACGCAGACTTCTCGAGCAATGTCGCTTGATTTGGAGAAACAACCGTCGAGTCTGACAAGCACAGGTCCAACGAATTCTTCGAGTGCGGATCCCATCAGACCCAGAAGGTCGACGAAACAATCTCTACCTGCGCAGACTAATACAAAAATTATGGTTGTATGGTTGGAAAGTCTGGAAGATCATATTTCGTTTCCGATTGGTGCGATTATGTTTCATTTAATTTTTTTTTTTTTTTTGACGATTTTACTTTTAAATACTTTGATATGTATATTCGATGATATTATTATACTATACTATATCTTGTTTATTGTATTTCCAGTATAAAATTTTATTTATTACATAGGTGACTTGCTTCCTTCCACTTACACGGGATTGGAACAATCGAGAATGCTGCAGGCTTCCGACGTACATGTTATTTTTCTTCAAGCTCTCGCTAACGGATTGATAAGAGTTAAATTACGAGGACCGGTCAGTAGGATTAATCTGGCAACACCTTTAATCGATGGTATGGTAGTATCAAGAAGAGTTTTGGGAACTCTAGTGAGACAAACGGCTCTTAATATGGGGCGTAGAAAAAGACTCGATAACGACAGGTAAACTAAATTGATACAAAAAATTCCAACGCTTGTTTTCCATACATTATATTAACATCTATTGCAATTATAATTCTGCACTTAAATTTCAATTGTTTGTTTTTTTACATTATTTTTTGTAAACTTCTATTTTTAATATATAAAAATATACATGTAATCTTTGTGTTTTAGTTATCATCCACCACATGTACGAAGACGTCTGAAAATTCAAGAGATGGTACAAAAATATAAGAGAAATTTGACAGATCCGGAATTATTAACACTTTTATTCAGCAGCACTCAAACTTATCAAATGCAATAGACTCGTATAAGAATCTCTCACGTAAACAGTGATCAATGTCTTTTTTCATCGTCATAAAGCGGAAGGATTAAAGCTATAAAATTTGCAAATCAATCAGTTTGACGCATTTCGTGATAATACAAAGCAGAGATAAAAAAAAAGTCAATTCATGTCGATTTAATAATTATTAATTAACTTATCATGTCGATTTAATTATTATAAATTAATTTATCATGTCGATTTAATAATATTTATTTGCACAAATGTAAATAATTTATTTTAAATACTGCTTATGCCGCAGGAAAAAGGTATGTTACTTCTTAACATCGCGGAAAACTGGCGATAAAAAAAGTGTGATAAAAACTAAATATATCTGAATATATCCGAATATATATTATGATTTTTAATATATACGCGTATATTTTACGCATAAAATATTGCGAACTGAAGTATTCTGTTACTTATAAAATCAGTATTTTGTAGATAACATTGTAAAATAAATTATTTTCTCCGCACGGATGTAATAGAAAGTATGTAAAAGAGATGTATAATTTTTAGTTAATCAATTTTTTATTATATATTACTATATATTCTGTTTTTTTTTCTATGTACATTTCTTCAAATATAGTACTCTTATTGAATGTATTTAAAATCATATTGAATATGGTTAAAATCACCTACAAATTATTAAATCCCAACAGTTGCTTGTTTAATATAGAAACTTTTAGCTTTTTTGTTTTTGTATATGTGAAATTTTAAAATGAACACATTACGCAACACTTACACACTTACATCACACCTGATAAGTTATATAAGATAATCATCGAATGATTTGCTTTATTTTATATCAGTCGTTTCATTTACTAATTTGAACGGAATACATATATTGCAGAACACATTTCGAGATTAAACAGTCATACTTTTTTCGTGTTCCAATTTTCGAAAAATGAACTTTTACATATAATTACAATCTCTCATGTATGCGTGATAAAATATCAGTTCTTTAAAGTACGTCGTTAAAACTTATCCTGAGTGATTTTTCAATAAATTGCATTGTCATAGAAGACAACATTTTTTCGAGATATCGCACAGATATTAAAAACATCGAAAATAGCACTGCGTATATCATTTACAAAAACTTAAGGTTAACTTAAAGTTAAGTACAAAAACTTAAGTTAAGTGAGCTAGTAAGCGCTTTTAAATTTCAGTAAAACTCAACTTTTTTGTTTCACTGAGATTTAAAAGTTTATTTACTTTCCGCATAATTCAATAACTTGATCAACATCCGTTCATTGCTCGCGACTCGATCGTTTATACATATATCATTACTAATAATAAGTGCAAAATGTTTTTTTTGTATTTCTTTTAGCATTATTCACGGAGTTTAAGTACTGTTATTCTTTTTTTGCGTCCAAACTGATATCACATTGTGATATCAAACTCGAATGTTCTTATCGTGTTTTTTTTTTCATGCTAGTTGGATAATGGCAAGTTAAATATAGCATTTAAAAGTATATTGGTTTTCACTGCACTTTTTCTTATCTATTGGGAAAAACAAGTTAATTGTATTTTAATGTCACCACAAACAACAAAATATGTTAATTTTAGATGGTAATAGAAAAAAAAAGAGAAAATAGAAAAATAAAAACATATTCTTTTTGTGATATAAATGCGCTCACATGAATGTACTTTTATTAAGACACATATATTCTTTTGAAGTCTATACAATTTTTTTTTGTCTATTTGTTGCTGGAATCCGCGAGAAAATTTAGAATACATGCATGCAGTGACTCAGCGCGTATCTCTGGTCTGAAAGCGACGATGTGTCATTGCTCAGTTTATTGTTACGCAATGTACGCGAAACTCATTGTTTGATTTTTCTGCGTTTTGTATGTTATTGTAATCGCGCCGATCAAGCACACACCTCTACGCAAGTAACGAAATATACTTTCTCGTATTTGAACAGTTATCTTCTCGTACCATCATACACACACGCACACGCACACACACACAGTCGGTGCAAGTTTCGGCATGCGAAAAAAAAACCGCTTTGTCACCGTCAAATAAATTACAAATTATCGTACACGATGTTTTACACCTCAAAAAATGGCTTGTACAAGTTTCTCGTTAAAAGACAAAGCTTGATGTTATTTCAAAAAATGCACGTATCGAGAGCGTTTGTCTTTTTATATACGATGATTTGGCGTCATTATGTACACATGTGACGCAGCACATACTTGCAAAGCGCATAATCATTCCTCGCGATATCAGATTGCAACGTGTTATTCTTATCAGCTAACAAATCTATGACGATGACATTTTTCGACACGCCAGTATATCTTATTTTCAATGTCACTGCCAATGTGGATCTATTGGCAAAAAAAAAAAAGGAAAATTATTTGGAGAAGATTTTTCTATGAGACAGAATTGGTTTTTTTTTAGAAAATTAATAATACTCAGTCGTAACAGCGATTGTGATGTGTGGTTTTAAATTTTGTCTAGCTTTATCCGTTGATCAAAATATATACGGACATTTATATGCTGTTTGTTTATGATATATCACAGCGTGGTTACAAGAATTATAAATGTATACTTAAAAACGTGGAATACACAAGATAGCTACATAATTACATGGTACGACTACGTGGTACTGATTATGTACTGTGTCCAATGTGTTGAAATTACACATCAGATTAATGCCGGACTGACTTGGTCAGCGCATTAATGCTGAGTTAATAGTGTTTTTTCCTAATTGATGCACTTCTTGCGTAGAATTGCGTCAACGATAGCGGCACCGATTGTCGATATCATTAAAAAGAAACATCCTTCAAGTTTGTTACACAGTTAAATCACATGTCGCTGGGTCTTTTGTGGGAACCGGCCTATTGGTCTTAGTGGTTTCGGTTTGACTAATCGGCCGGCCTCGACACGAGATCGGCGACGTATGATTTACTGCATAACGGACTTTAGTGTGCGCACATGTCTGTGTATGGATCGGATCGTGCTTATTATTAGACAGAGATCCGTTTATCTCCATGTTACAAAGTGTTCAAAGATACTGGCCTTGGGATCCTTCAAGATCTCTCTGTTCACGCCGTGTATAGTGTTATATAAATTACGCTTTTTGATAGTCATCTTACGAATGCTATATATATATATATATTTGCACTCAAAGTAATTGCATATGTAGAATCGGCGTAATTTGCTGTATCTACACAACTGCATCTACTTTTTTTATCGTTATGTATTCTTTTATTCTTCTTCAGGGAGACTTCACAGAAATGTTAAAATTTTATAAACAATTCATCCAAATTTCGATGTTTCATCTGCTGACGATTACTTATATAATCGTTAAAAAAAGCTTACAAACAAATTATTTAACGATTTAACGACAATTCTATATTGTTAAAATTTTCCAAAAATTAATTGTATATTTGAGTAAAAATATTCTAAGAGAGAAAAACAAACAACCTCTCTCTATTTGCAATTTGTACAAAAAAATTTCGTTTTAAGAAAAACTCGAGATAAATCGTACACGTGTTTCGTAGAATAACGGAGCGATGTTACGTGCATACGCGCAACTCTCGTGACGCGCGAATTCAGCCGCGAGTCGCAAGCGTATTGAGGTTTTCGCGCCACGGCTACGCACGCGCGCGCGCGCGTCTTGATTGGTCGCACTGTCCCGCGATATATCTCGTATCGGTGCCACGAATCTCGCATGACGCGACCCGACGATATCGGATACTTTCACTTCGCTACGTTCAGGCATGCTCGCTCGGACACGGCGAGAGACCGCACTGGTGGACCGCACGACAAGGGAACGACGGGCTCGCTTGAAGGATTGTTCGACAATTTTGCGCATCTCGTCCGACAAAGTTCCCGAATGCGGACGTGTGTCTTCGGAGAAGTGACGACGAGCAATCTGGAGGTCTGTGTGCGCGTGTCGCTAGTGGCAAAGATCTACCGACGAATTCGCTCATCCCTTCCGTCGTCGTGAGTGCTTTGCATCGCCGTTGCCGCAGTAGCGTGAACCGCTGGTGTTGAACGAGGACACGCGAGAACGATTTTCTCGCCGAAAATAAGAAAGATTTTCGTTTCTGGTGGTGCGGTGCGGCGTATTTGTTTCTTTTTGCAAAACACAAGATTATATAGGTTCTTCCTGCTGTCCGAGAAGCTTTTGCCGGCCGATTAAATGTGTCAGTATGGAAAATCAAACAATGGACCAATTCTGCGGCACCAAATTTTGGGTGAGTAAATAAGGTCGTCCTTCTTCTCCTCCCTCTCCCCCCGTTCCTCTTTGATCTAGTCGTTTCTCTCTTCATTCCCCGTTTTTTGAAATATAGTATCGACGATGTAAGCGACTTATAAGTCACCTCACAGTGTTCACACCGTGTACGTATGTGTGTGTACATGTGCATAGAATACTTTTCCTTAACAAAAATTACGAAACTGCTGTCAACGATGATCGGTTAAATCAGTTAGAGTTCGACGCGAGAGTGTCTCTTTGCGTAAGAGATCGTGACGTTCAAGATGTTCGATTTTTGGCTTTGTTTCCTTTCGGGCACACACACACACACACACACACACACACACACACACACACGTCTTTTCGCGCTAGAACCTCACAGTAATAGCAATGACATCGTGTTAAAAAAATGTTGTATATGTTATTAATATGTTATACGTATGTTATTAATATTATCAATATTTATAATATGTACACATATTACGGAAATAAATCTTATATATATATATATACGTACGCACATCAATAGAACGTAATTTAGAGACGCGCTCAAGGAGCGCAAATATTCGAATAAACAAGCGTTTATCACAATTGAATCCTACTTAATATATGATTGTATGTACATATCTTCACACTATCTTCATTATATATATGTAATATCAAACAAGCAATATCTCAAGAAAGATGTGTAAGTACATCATGACAAACAAAAAACACTTCAATAACGAAAAATCGTGTTTATGCGTAATTTAAGATAATAATTATATGAAGGTCTTCCTATATGACATAACAAAGAAGGGAAGTGAATGTCAAAAACCGTCAAACCGTTGGTCACGTCAACATGCTTAATTACAAACTAAACAAATCTTTATTTTCAGAAATTTATACAAATAAATTTGCAAATTTACAGGCAAGATATATTGTAAAATTTATTGTGTAAACTGGAAAAAAACGCTAAAGAGAAAAAAATATAAGGAAAACGAGAAAGAATGAGAAAATTATTGAAGTAATTGAACGGTTGACTTGTTGACTCGCTCACTTGCACATTGTGTTGTGCAATAGTTTAATTTCCTGAACTCGATAGATAGACTTATGTCATCGAATCATCGTTTTTTGTTAGTCTCTGTGATGCTTTTAATGCCGATGCAATTAGATTGTCTCCGAGTACAGCTTATCGTTGCTACTGTGTGATAAGGCTTATCATTTATCAAAACTTACGCGAAAACTGAGACAAAAATTAAACAAAAATGTTTGAGTTTTGCCTTTTTTTTTTTTTAATAGCAAGTCTGATCGCATTATATTCATAAATGTTAGATATATGAATAACAAGAAAAGATATCGCTTATCGGACGGTATCTGTTCTTTATTACAGGCGCGCAAGTAAGTTTGATGATCAAACAGGAAGATTTTTCGAACTCTAGGCTCAATTAGTTGTCTATAAATACATCATTACTCACTGTGTGTTCGACACAGTGTGTTGTATTTCCCGTGTCAAAAACTGAAACATCTCTTATATATTAGACAAAAAACCGATTTGTATTTAAAAAATTAATAACTTGCCTAAAATGTTTCTTACTTGTTTTTAGGATGCTAACTTAACATGGCACACAAACGATCCAGATCTAACAGAATGCTTCCAAAAAACAATATTAATATGGACACCATGTGCATTTTTATGGGTGTTCTCCGCCATGGAAGCGTACTACCTTTTAAATAGTAAAAGGAGAAATGTCCCGTACACATGGTTGTTTTTTTCCAAGCTAGTACTTACTGTAGGATTAATTATACTTTCTATAATTGACATAGGAGTGGCTATATACGCAAGTACTCATCGTACGGTTTACAGTGTTGATTATTATACACCCTTTATAAAAATCGTTACCTTCGTAAGTATGAGTACAGCAATATTTTGCATTTTATATATTGAATTTTATATATTGAAATAACATAATTTTTAATTTTTTAATCTTAAATATTTTAAGTCTTTCTTTTTGCTTTCTTGAATTGTGGTTTTTTATAGCTTTTTTTTTTTTATTAACACGTTAAGGGTTCTACGTCGGTCCTTGGGATAAGGACTAATTGTCTGGAGACTGACACTAGATTTTTTGTTTAGGTGGCGTCGATCTCTGAGGACCGACAGTATTAAATTAAAAAAATAATTTTAGTTTCGGTTTGCAGAACGGAAAATTCAGCGCCGGTCTTCAAGGCCGGCGTAGCACTTAACGTGTTAAATATATTAAATTGTTTTTTCTTCTTTCTTACACAAAAATTTGTATTAATTGATTGTAATATGGAAACAGAAATCATATATTCCTGAGAATAGTTTTCGAGTTGGAATTTTCACGTCATTGTCATTTTTATTTTTTGTCCGACATTTTGTAAACATTTTAATACGAAAATGACTCTAACGCGTTTTCACAGATCATTTTTAGAAATTGTTATAACACAAAATGTCAAATATTTTTAAATATTTTTCGCATAAGACGCTTAACTAAATTTGTTAATTATTTCAGGTGTTAGCATCTATCTTAATGATATATAATAGGAAACAGGGAATGCAGACATCAGGGTTATTATTTCTATTTTGGTTTTTTCTTGCATTATGTGGATGTGTTCAATACAGGAGTTGTATAAACGACCTCATTAAAAGGGTATATTATAGCTCTCTAATATTAACAGCAACATACGGCTCATGTGAACATATTTTATGAACAATTATATATTTTACTTAAACATATTTATAAATTTTTATAATTAATTTTTAAGTATGCAAAATAAATTGCAATTTAATAAAATACTTTTCATAAATGTATTAAGTAAAATACATTGTTTATATTATTGTTTATAGTATAAAATTTGTATCCAATTTTTATTTAAAAAATTTACCAAAAAATATTTTGTTGTATTCGTTGCGAAGAAAAACATTTGTTCAAATTAATAAAATGTTATTTAATTTTTAGGTAGAGCCTACGTACGCACTAGTATCCTATATGATCTACTATTCAATAGTAATAATATTGTTTATACTTAATTTTTTGGCTGATGCAGAGCCTCAATTCTCCGAATATCCTACGGTAAAATTTTTTTATACTGATATATTCTAACATATATTATGATCTTTTACCTTTCACAAGGAAATTCTTGAAATCAGTTGTAAAATTGTGATTTTTTTTTGTATTTACAACACAGTTTCGGATTGTATATTTATTTGACTTTTGCAGGTCGAATTACCATGTCCAGAGCAAGGCTCTTCCTTTCCATCGAGAATTGTTTTTTCATGGTTCAATTCTTTAGCGTGGAAAGGATTCCGAAAACCTCTTGAAACATCCGATCTATGGTCTATGAATCCGGAGGACATGGCCTCGGAGATTGTGCCGAAATTCGATAAATATTGGAATCAAAACTTGAAGAAAACAGACGAGTAAGCTTGATATAATACAATCGAAATAAATGATTACTTATATATATATATAAAAAAGTTTATTATTTACGTATTGCTATTTATACAGCATATTGTTTATATCATATTTCATTTTTAATGTAAGTTTTAAACATAAGGAATTTTATACAAAAAATGTTTTAACAACATTTATATACATTTCTTGCTAACAAGGCCGATTTGGACTTACTTTAGGTAGTGTGCTTTGTGTAATGCTTCGCGAATATTCATATCGTTAACATTCATTCAAATGAACACGTGTAATAATAAATATTTTTTACGTGTATAGAGTAGAAAGCACAAAAGCGTCATTCCGTAAAGCAACTGGACAAGTAGATCTTAACAATAGTCAAAAAAAGAAGATTGCCTCTATTCTACCACCAATTTGCAAAGCTTTTGGAGCAACATTTATGTTTGGCGCGTTTTTAAAACTGATTCAGGATATTTTGACCTTTGTTAGTCCACAAATATTAAAGTAAGTACATCAAAAATTGATACAATTTCTAATTTACATCTAAGTTTGTATATATTTAATTTTAGTTTGATATAGTTTATTAAATGAAAACGGTATAATAATTTTACAAAACCTACTTGTAGACTTGTTGTAGATTATCTACATAAACTCGGGAAAAAAATCTTTATTTGTATTTCTCTTTTAGACTTCTGATTGACTTTATCAAAGAAGGAGAGGAAATGTGGAAAGGATACTTCTATTCCGTACTACTTTTAGTTACAGCAATAATTCAAACACTAGTGCTATCCCAATATTTTCATCGTATGTTCTTAGTTGGATTACGCATACGTACTGCCCTAATTGCGGCGATTTACCGTAAAGCATTGAGGATGTCGAATTCTGCCAGAAAAGAATCCACTCTCGGTGAAATTGTAAACTTAATGTCCGTCGACGCTCAACGATTTATGGACTTAACCGCGTACATAAACATGATCTGGTCGGCTCCATTACAAATAGCCTTAGCCTTGTATTTTCTGTGGGATATATTAGGACCAGCGGTACTTTCTGGATTAGCAGTCATGATCATTCTTATTCCCGTGAACGGTTTAATCGCGAACAAAATAAAAACGTTACAAATCAGACAGATGAAAAGCAAAGACGAGAGAGTGAAGTTGATGAACGAGGTACTTAATGGTATCAAAGTGTTGAAGTTGTATGCTTGGGAGCCTTCGTTTGAGCAGCAGATACTTAAAATACGTGTAAAAGAGATTCAAGTACTGAAAGAAGCGGCATATTTGAATGCCGGCACGAGCTTTATATGGTCGTGCGCACCATTTTTGGTACGTTTCTGAAACAGTCAAGCGTTGTGATTAAAGATCTTAAAAAATTTTTATTGCGAACTTATAGTTTATTTTTTGTCATAAATGTGCAGGTGTCGTTGGTATCGTTTACTACTTACGTACTTATAGATGAAAATAACGTCCTAGACAGTACAACTGCCTTTGTTTCGCTCAGTTTATTCAACATCTTAAGATTTCCACTCTCTATGCTACCCATGATGATTGGTAACATAGTTCAAGTGAGTTTAAGTAATGCATATATGTATTATAACTTACGTTAATTTATACGTACAGAGATTTATAGCTACTATTTTTTATCTTTAGGCTTACGTTTCCGTAAAACGTATTAATAAATTTATGAATATGGAAGAACTGGATCCTAATAATGTACAGCACGATCCATCAGAAGGTAAAACAAAACTTTCTCTTTTAAAATATAGTATCTCTATATATATTGCATGATACACATAACAGTAACACATTATATCACATTAATTTAGCGCACGCGTTAGTAATTGAGAATGGTAGCTTCTGTTGGGACAATGAACACATCGAGAGACCAATACTACGAAATATCAATTTCCATGTAGAACAAGGTCAATTAGTAGCAATAGTTGGTACAGTAGGATCAGGCAAGAGTTCCCTGTTATCTGCTCTGCTTGGTGAGATGGATAAAGTAAATGGAAGAGTAAATACAAAAGTGAGCATTCTTTTGTCGAATTGAAAGTGTGAAATATAAGGAAAATTTATATTTTTCTCTCTTGCACACGAGAATTTATAATAATTGAGTCTAAATACTTCTTGTAGGGTTCAATCGCATATGTCTCGCAACAACCGTGGATACAAAACGCCACGTTACAAGACAACGTTCTATTCGGAAAGGCTTTGAATAAATCAGTGTACAATCGTGTTATTGAAGCATGTGCATTGAGTCCGGATCTCAAAATGCTACCCGCGGGTGACCAAACAGAAATCGGAGAGAAAGGCATAAATTTATCTGGCGGTCAGAAGCAAAGAGTAGCTCTAGCTAGAGCAGTATATAACGATTCTGAAAATTACTTCTTGGATGATCCTTTGAGCGCGGTGGACTCGCATGTGGGAAAACACATTTTTGAGAACGTAATAGGCCCAAACGGCCTGTTGAAGAAAAAAACAAGAATGCTCGTTACGCATGGCATCACGTATTTGCCTGAAGTCGATAACATTATTGTTCTTAAAGAAGGCGAAATAACGGAGATCGGAACTTACAAGCAATTGTTGGAAAAAAAAGGCGCTTTCGCCGACTTTTTGGTGCAACATTTACAAGAAGGTATCTATAAATAATTTATCGCCTATTTTGTTTCTTATCATAATAATTAAACTTATTGTTACATTTTCTTTTCATGGATCTAAGTTGGAAATCGTAAGTCTGCGAAAAAGTAATTACAATTCCTTTTCCTACATTGCACGCTTGCGTAGGAAATACTTGCTGTCATATTTACTTTGCTCTTTGATTGATTGATTGATTGATTGATTTAATGGTATATTGTTGAATTCCCCCATTTCTCACATTCTTCTCTTGTGATGCTATCTCACAATCGACACTCAGACACATCACACGTACGCAAAATAAACATAACTTCTCTGTGTGCGCAATATAATTTTGCGCAAAACTTTTCAAAGAGAGTGAAGAAAACACACAGAGAAGATGTGAGAAGTGACGGTTAATCGATTTTTCAACGATGAGAAAATTGAGAAACTTACTGCATTCGAAATATGCATGCAACTTTTTGAATTTTTCCCTTTATATAATTTTTTTAAATGTACAATATCGATACATTTTATGAATGAACGTTTATCATTATTCTATGATCAAAATGACGAATTTGAAACAGTGCCCGTTGATGAGGGTTCCGAAGCTGATTTACGTGAAATTAAACAGCAGCTTGAATCAACAATCGGAGCGGACGAGTTGCAACAAAAGTTAACCCGAGCCTGGTCCAGAATATCCGAAAGTGAATCCGGTTCTATGGTTGACAGAAAATCGCTTAATGGTTCTCTTAAAAGGTACGTTTTTTATATGTATGAAAAACACAACGCGCGTTTTTTCTTAATCGGGCGCCCAGCCCGGCTCGCGAATGTCGTTTCCGCGGAAAAAAGAAATTATATCGCGGACATTTCGGATGAGGGTAATTATGCAGTTATACGGACTATTTTCCGATCTCAACAATTTTGACATATGTTATCAAGGTCACCTCCCTGAATAATAATATGAAGGTTTTATCCGTCGCTCATTGTTTATAAAAAACTTATGAACAAAAAAAGTTTCATGAAACTATTGTTTTTCGACACCGTGTACATTTTTCGTGTGTTGTAAGCATGTAGGCAGGGGGGGCTGCGC